GGAGTACGAGGAATAGGGGCAGTACGCAACGGGCAAACTGGATAGTAGAGTAGCACTAGGGATTTTATGTAGGGTGGCGTAGGCCGTTTTACTCGTTCTGTTCACGATGAGTGCCTTGGCGTATTGGCCACTTGAGCTAGGTTACTAGCAAATTCGTCGGGTGTCATGTAAGGGGTCATGTGGCCACCACAGAAACGCACCGCGAATCTGTCGTCTTGTCAAAGACACGCGGACAAAAAAAGTCACACCTCGTTCTCGAACTTCCCGCAAGCTGCGCAGACTCATAACGCACAAAAAATGAATAAAAGGAAACCCTTTTCATGGTCTCACGAAAGGGCTAAATGGAACGAAATATTAACGACTTTATTGAGGGGTTTCGTTAACCAATCACACGTTTTTACGAAAGCGAAAGAGACCCCTTGAGAAAATCATTTTCGAAATTTGCAGTTGTTAATGGGGTTTGAAGAAACTAGGGTCGTGTTCCTGTATTTAGGACGCCCCTGTTCGTGTCATTCTGGAAGCCTGAATATGTAAATGATTGGTTCTAAAAAATGGCAGACGCCTCGCATGCAGTTGACACAAGGATTTGAATACGACCATTATCGTAAAACAGAATGGATGGAATTTTTTTGCACAGTACATGTGCAAGCTGTATAGCTTGCTGGTAGTCCAACAGGCGACATTTTATTGGCCCTTGGGTTGCCATCTAGATTGCGACCCCAGTTCATAGCTCTCATTCACTCTGTCTCTGCAGCATCGCGTATAAAGCCTCTCTGAGGCTCTAATTCAGTAGTTAGCTTCTCATTCACTCCGTCTCTGCAGCAGCACATATAAAGCCTCAGTGAGGCTCTAATTCTGTAGTTAGCTTCTCGTTCACTCCGTCGCAGCAGCAGCTTGTATAAAGCCTCTCTTAGGCTCTAATTCAGTAGTTAGCTTCCCGTTCACTCTGTCTCTGCAGCAGCGCGTATAAAGCCTCTCTGAGGCTCTAATTCAGTTGTTAGCTTCTCGTTCACTCCGTCTCTGCAGCAGCGCGTATAAAGCCTCTCTGAGCCTCTAATTTGGTAGTTCGTCATGCAGCTCACTCCAGTGCAGCAGCAGACTCACTACCATCATCTAGAAGGCAAAAATGGCTCACGACATCTGCCACTTATAGCCTTTCCAGCAGAAGTACCAGCGCTCCCGTCATCAGGGTCCGACGGCGCCGACGCCATTTACCTATAGCTATACCACGTTCGTGGCTCTGCCACCTCTGCCACGAGAATCACGACCTCTGTGCGGAGGCCAGGCTGCTTTCATTTTGCACGATCCAGCCCACAGCTGCACGGAAAAGCGCCACTCCCTCCATGCCTGCATTTGGCCACAACCGTCTCCAACACAAAATAGTGACGCACGGACCAGCGCAGTGCCCCATGTTTCCACACCTTCCTGCCACAAATTTCCCCACGCTGCAGCAACTTGCGCTCCTCTCAGGTGCCATGTCATTTCCCACCTGCATAGCCCTTGCTCTTGCTACTCCCTTCCTCATCATTTCTGCTACTCCAGCTTTCCTTCACTACTGCCTCTATCAGCGGCGTCAATATATATTTTTACAAAATGCATTCGCGCAAAAGAGGTCGCTCACCTGGTCTCACGGCATCGGCCCCTACCCCGTCCACAGTTCGAACATGCCCTTCCCCTCCCTTTGCTACAGTCCCTGTTCCCCCTCCGACATTCGCCACGGCCTCCTCTTCCTCCGACCCTGGTCTCGCCTCAGCTCCTCGGGGGGGCACCTCCTCTACCTCAGTGCCCTCTTGTGTCCCAAAAACAGAAGGTGGTCCTCCAGCGGGTTCTTGCGGACACTCTCTCTTCCAGATCTGCACGTGCACATTCCCGCCCTGCCTCACCACCAGCCTCATCCCAGCGGCCAACAGGCCCATCCGTCCCTACTGCCGATCCGAGAGTTCTGCACCCACTTTCGCACTTCAGTACAGATCCTCCTCCTTCCCGCCAAACCTCCCCTCCCCGTTCCACGTCTCCTCCTCCTTCCCCGTCCTCCTCGAACCCATCAGCCCCTGCGAACCCACTTCATGCGAGTTCTTCATTCACCCGCCCTCTATGTCGCCGCTATTGTGCCAATGCAAGCGGACTCAGGCACCACAAAACAGCTTGCCAACAGCACACTTCCGCACGACAGCAAGCCGCTTGCCCTTCTCCTCGTGCTGCCCCTCCGCATGCCCAAGGTTCTTCTACTGATATTGCTTCTCCCCCTGTGTTCCCGTCAGCCACTTGGGACGCTGTCCTTACCTGGGTCTGGTCAGCATTCTTCAGCCCCACAGTCTCTCCTGGCCCTATCATCCACCTCATTCTTCATCGCATCCGCCTCCTTGTTCTTGATGCTTCGCTCATCCAGCTTCGCCGGCTTGCACTGTTTCCTTCGGATGCTGCAGCCCACCTTCTCTTGCTTGCTTTCTCGCGCCTCGTCCTCCGTATGTCCGCGGCTGCCCCCTTGCAATACCTCACTGCGTCCTGTGCTCTCCTGGCCCAACGCTTTCTTAGTGGCGACTGGCGCGCTCTGTTTTTGGAGGCCTCAGCTGCAGCAACCTCTGCTGCCTGCCCCCTTAACCTACCCTCGGCGCATTCCATGGCCACCCAAGCCCGCCTCTACCGTGCTAAGCGCTTTGCCAAGTGTGGCGACTGGTCTCGCTCTCTCTTGCTGCACTTGAAGCCGGTGAGCTCGCTCCCCCAACGTCGGATACACTCTCCGCTCTCTCCTCCAAACATCCCCCTGCAGCAGAGCCCCTCCCTGACTGGATGTCTGCCTTCACTCCAGACTCCCTACCTCAGCTCAACACCCCAGCCCTTCACTCCGCCTTACGCGCTGCCCCTTGAGGGACTGCTGCTGGTCCATCTGGTTGGTACATTGAGCATCTTTGGGATAGTTTTCTCTCCTACCAGCATCACCTCCCCACCCTCCTCCACCTTTTCCAGAATTGGCTGCAGGGTAACCTACCTACCCTGATCCGCCCCTTTTATACGGCCTCCTCTCTCGTCACCCTGCAGAAGCCTCATGGTGGAGTCCAGCCAATCGCTATCGGGGAAGTGCTCCCGCACCTCCTCTCTCGTTGCATTTCCCTCATGTTCAAGCAGCAGATGTGGGACACCTTCCTTCCATGCCTTCAGTTTGGCGTGGCTATTCCTGTTGGGATTGAAGAAATGGCGCACGCAGTGCAGTCTGCCCTTTCTTTACACCCTGACTGGGCAGTGCTTCAACTCGACATCGCCAATGCTTTCAACTCCTTCAACAGGATAGCCATGTTCGACGCCCTTCGCTCCTCCCCTTTCTCTTCCCTCATCCCCTTCTTCCACCTCTTCTATGCCTCCCCTTCTCCCCTCCACTTCCGCAATGGCCCCACCATTCATTCCTTCCAGTCTGCCTCTGGTGTGCGCCAAGGGAACCCCTAGGGTCCCTTCCTGTATGCCCTCATGCAACAACTTGCCATCCTCCCTACCCAGCGGCAACTCCCTTCCATTTTTATCGCCTCTTACGCCGACGACACTTTCCTCGTCGGTCCACCCTTTACTATCTCGATGGCTTTCACGCCACTTACGGACCGCCTTCGCTCGTTGGGCCTTGCTGTCTAGCCTTCAAAGTGCTCCGTATGGTGCCCTCTGGATCTTGCACTAGATTGTGCCCTTCCTCTTGGAGATCCAGTCGCCCCCAATGGCATGAGCGTCGCTGGGGTTTCAATTGGCTCTGACGGCCACATCATCTCTGAGGTCCGTCATAAGCTCAACTCATTCACATCCTCCCTTCACCTTCTTCACAAGCTTGAGGACCCTTAGATTGCCTCTCGTATCCTTTCTCATTGCATCTCAGCCCGTCCCTCCTTCCATCTTCGAACAGTCTATCCATTCCTTGAGATTCACGACCTTTTTGCTGCTTGGGATTCTACCCTTCTGGATCACTTCACCCAACTTTTGGCCTCAGTTACTGGATTCCACGGATGGAGCAGACCAAAACTGCCCATCATCAAGCCTTCTTCCCCATTCGTTCATTCGGGTACAACATTGGCTTTGGATATCTCTTTGGCTGACCCCCAACAGGGGTTCCCCCACTCCAACACCGCCACAGTCATCGGTTCGCCCGCGGCCACACATGAAACTGAGAAGACCACTCTCTACGCCCCGTCGCTGCGCACCCGCCCGGATGTTAAACTTCTTCCCCTGGTCCTTGAGACTTCTGGGTGCTTTGGAAAGTCCTTCCAAGATTTCCTCAAAGATTGCAATCGTCGAGGTGCTTCCCGTCTTCGCGATTTCAACGGCCCTTCCGATCTTTTGCTCCACATGTTTGAAACCAACTTCTACAAGCGCATTTCACTCATCCATCAGCGCAATCAGGCCTGCACAATTTGTAGGCGTGCACAGGTCCGTTTCTCTGACGGCACCAACGCAGCCCCGTGCGAGGTTGTCCCTCCATCGGTAGCAGATTTTGCATACTTGGGAAATGACTTCTGAAAAGGTTGCTAGAACGTCTTTTAGTTCTCTGTTGCATGGTGTCTAGTTCAACAATGTTATGAATGGGAGTGCCGAGTAGCGCGGAGGGCAATGGCGAAACTGTGAACGAGTGAATGACAATAAAATGAAAGACAATACAATATATAGAGAGCCTAGGTTGATCCTGGCCGTAGGATCGGAAGGTTCGGGAAAAGTATCGAAGGGCCTCGATGTGTCGTAGCGAGGTCCGGAAAGGCCCAGGAGGCTCGAACTGATAGGTCTGGAACCCTGGCGATGGTTCGGGACTGTTCGAGTCGTACGCCGTGTAGCAAGCCTCAGTAAGGAATTACTAATTCCTTACAAACAATCCCTAACTTGGAACTCTTGTACATACCGGTATATGCATTGTCAATAAAGTGGCATACAGGGCAGTATTGGAATAATCGGCGAGTTTCGTCCAGCCACTCCCGAATCGCAAGGGGCTTCGTCAGAGATTTCATTGGCAAACGGGGCATTTTGCGACGTTGATGGTACGCACTACAGTATTTGTACGTCGTACGATCGGAGTACAGCGTGTTGGATCCTACAGAATTATGGACGGTAGGATACTTCTGTATAAAAATGTCGAGGACTTAATGGCATATCAGCTGTAGACGGTTTGCATCGCCCCTAGCAGCGCCGTACCACCGGTAGGATTAGCACTAGGTAGGTAGGGCAGGGGCGAAGCACCGCAAGAGAGACGGCAGACGTGGGCTTCACGAGCAGACAAGCATCGCGGGCGCCAAGGGGACAAGGGATCACACGTCAGCAAGGCGAGGTAGGCGGAAATGCAGAAAGAGAAATGCAATGAAGTGCGGCGAGGCGGAGCGACGGGCAGAGGTGGGCGAATCGAAAAGGGGAGGTAGAGGGACGACGACTGTGAGGTAGGGAGAGGGGGGGAGGGTAGGCGCAATAAGACTGAGAGATTGAAGGCAGACGGACGTGGAGCGGGAGAGGGCAGAACGTGAAGGCTTGGTGGGCGGAAAAAGGAGGAGGGGAAGAGGGAGAGGTGGGCGGAGAGAGGGGGAGGGAGAGGAGGGGAGAGACGAGCGGGAAGGAAGGAGCGCGAGAGGCGGGCAGAAAAGGAGAAGAACGGCGGAAGGGAGGGAGAGTGGGCGGAAAAAGGAGGGAGAGGGGAGACGAATGAGCACGAAATATATGCGGGTAGCGAGGGGAGCGGAAGGCGAATGAGAGGCGGAAGGCGAATGAGAGGCGGAAGGCGAATGAGAAGCGGAAGGCGAATGATAGGCGGAACGCAGATTCGGACGGGGAGGGAGGGGTGGAGAGAGGCTGAAAACGATGGAGACGGCAGGTGAGGGCGGGGGGGCGAGGGAGAGGTTGGCAGAACGAGGTGCGGTGGGGGTTGGCAGAGTCGAAGAGTCGAGGTCGAAGAGTCGAGGTGCGGTGGGGGTTGGCAGAGTCGAAGAGTCGAGGTCGAAGAGTCGAGGTCGAAGAGTCGAGGTCGAAGAGTCGAGGTGCGGTGGGGGTTGGCAGAGTCGAAGAGTCGAGGTGCGGTGGGGGTTGGTTGGCAGAGTCGAAGTGTCGAGGTGCGGTGGGGGTTGGCAGAGTCGAAGAGTCGAGGTGCGGTGGGGGTTGGCAGAGTCGAAGAGTCGAGGTGCGGTGGGGGTTGGCAGAGTCGAAGAGTCGAGGTCGAAGAGTCGAGGTCGAAGAGTCGAGGTCGAAGAGTCGAGGTGCGGTGGGGGTTGGCAGAGTCGAAGAGTCGAGGTGCGGTGGGGGTTGGTTGGCAGAGTCGAAGTGTCGAGGTGCGGTGGGGGTTGGCAGAGTCGAAGAGTCGAGGTGCGGTGGGGGTTGGCAGAGTCGAAGAGTCGAGGTGCGGTGGGGGTTGGCAGAGTCGAAGAGTCGAGGTCGAAGAGTCGAGGTCGAAGAGTCGAGGTGCGGTGGGGGTTGGCAGAGTCGAAGAGTCGAGGTGCGGTGGGGGTTGGTTGGCAGAGTCGAAGTGTCGAGGTGCGGTGGGGGTTGGCAGAGTCGAAGAGTCGAGGTGCGGTGGGGGTTGGCAGAGTCGAAGAGTCGAGGTGCGGTGGGGGTTGGCAGAGTCGAAGAGTCGAGGTCGAGGCGAGGTGCGGTGGGGGTTGGCAGAGTCGAAGAGTCGAGGTGCGGTGGGGGTTGGCAGAGTCGAAGAGTCGAGGTGCGGTGGGGGTTGGCAGAGTCGAAGAGTCGAGGTGCGGTGGGGGTTGGCAGAGTCGAAGAGTCGAGGTGCGGTGGGGGTTGGCAGAGTCGAAGAGTCGAGGTGCGGTGGGGTGGGGGTTGGTATCGGGGAAAAAGGGGAGATGCTTCTCCTGAGAGAGGGCGAGGAGGGCGGAGATAGTGGGAGAGGTAGGCGGTGGGAGAGGGAGAGGGCCATGAAAGAGAGAGAGAGGGGAGCGAGAGGAAAGCGAGGGGTAGATGGTAGGCAGAAGGAGGGAGAGGTGGGCAGGGAGAAAGGGGGATGTGAGGGTCGAAAAAAATGGAAGAGGTGGAGGGAGAGTGGGAGAAAGGGCGAGCAACGCGAGTGAAGGCAAGTGGAAAGGGGGGATTTGGTGGGCGGACACAAAAAAGGGGGGCCGGGGCACTAAAAGAGGGCGAGGGTGAGGGCGGGGGGGGTGGGGGGTGGGTGGGTTGGAGGGAGGGGGAGAAAGGGGGGGGGGGGGCTTAGGGGCGAAGCACGGCGGAAAGAGAGGGCGGGGCAAGTAGATTCGTGTGGTGGGGGGGAAGAGGAGCAGTGGGCATTGATAGAGGGAGAAGCGCGAGGGATGGGAGGGAGATGTGACCAGGCAAAGAGGGAGATGTGACCGGGCAACAAGGGAGAGGGTGGGGGAGAAATGAGAGAGAGGGCAATGGGAAAGGTGGGGAAAGGTGGGGAAAGGGGTAGAGGAGGTGGAAGGTGGGGGGGCGGGTGGGGAGAAGGGAGGGAGATGAAGGCGGACAGGGAGGGAGAGGGGCGGGCACGAAACGAAGGTGAGGAGGGGAGGGGAGAAATCTGAGGGGGGGAGTTAGGCGGGGTGAGAAGGAGTGGTGGATGGAAAGGGAGGGAGTGGTGGATGGAAAGGGAGGGAGTGGTGGATGGAAAGGGAGGGAGTGGTGGATGGAAAGGGAGGGAGTGGTGGATGGAAAGGGAGGGAGTGGTGGATGGAAAGGGAGGGAGTGGTGGGCAGGGCAGGGGTGTAGGGGGGGCGGGTAGAGAAAGAGGGCGACAGTCATCGAATGGGGGGACGGAGAGGTGGGCGAGCGGAGGGAGAGAGGTGGGCAGACAGAGAGCGGGCGACTGTGCCCCAGGCTGTTCTGCGCTGTGTGGCCTGGTGGCTAGCGCGCAGCACTGCGAAGCAGGTGGGGTAGACATGGGCTTAACACCGAGCCGGCTGGGCTCGGAGTCGGCACGGCTCGGCTTGAAGCCGAGCCGAGCCGACTTTTTTTTGGGCGAGCCGAAGCTGGCTCGGCTTGGCTCGCAGCTTCACTGAAGCCAAAGCCGAAGCCGTAGCCGAAGCTGAAGCCGAGCCGAGGTGAAGCCGAAGCCGAAGCAGAAGCCGAAGCCGAAGCCGAGCTGAAGCCGAAGCCGAAGCCGAAGCCGAAGCCGAGCCGAGCTGAAGCCGAAGCCAAGCCGAGCTAAAGCCCGGCTCGTTCTGGCTAGGCTTCAGCGCGGCGTGAAGCTGCGGGGCTCAAAATTCGACCCCCCCTCCAAAACGTGACTCTCATTTTGACAGTCGCGTTTTTTAAACCCTTATCTAGCCAGCGACCCCCCTACCTCGCCTTAGCGCCCTCTAAGCACCCCCAGCCCTCTACGATGTTTCAGGTAGACCCACCACTCCGGCTTCAGTGCTTCAAAAACGAGCCGAGCCGAGCCGAGCCGGCTCGTTTTCCGGCTCGGCTTCGGCTCGAAATCGGCTTCACCGAGCCGAGCCGGACAGTGGCTGAAGCGAGCCGAAGCCGGCTCGGCTCGGCTCGGCTCAACTGAAGCCCGGCTCAAAGCCGGCTCGGCTCGGCTCGGTGTTAAGTGGGGGATGGAGCCACCCGCTGGGAGATTGCGGGCGCTTGTCGTCCTAGGATTGCGGATGCTTGTCGTGCTAGGATAGGAGGATAGGATTGTGTCAAGAGTTGCCTCTTGGACTCGGCGTTCTTAGGTGCGTCGGACAGTGGCAGTGGGCCTCGTGCGACCCCCATGTGCCGAAAGCACTCTCCACTCACGCCGTTGCGACATGCCATGTGCTCCCGCCCATTCTCCCGTCTTTCTGGAGCTCCCTCATATTGCAGGGTGCTTTTTAGAGTTCTAAAAACCTCCCTTATACGCCCGTCCACGCCGCTGCCTCCCCCTCCTCCTCTCCGCCAGTGTCCGTGGACCCACTGCTCACACCCGCGCCGCTTTCACACCCCGCATCTTCCCAAACCCCTCACCCCTTGTTCCCTATTGTCCGTTGTTACTAAGCCGGAGTTTCCATGGGGTCAAGTCCCATGCAAGCAGCATGATCTGATTCCCGACCGCCGTACGAGTTCCGGGTTCAGGGTTCCGCGTTGAGCACCTTGTACCCGAAACCCACAACCTGGGACCCCTTATCGGCTGCTCATATTTGTGTGCAGTCATTGGCTTGAACACGCTGTTTCTCTCTCTGTTTCACTCCCGCCTCCCCATCATCTCGTGCTCACATGCCTTGAACCATCATCCGCACTGTCTCCCTCTCTTCTCACTCTTCCCCGCTGGCCAGCGAGAGAAGCCATTGAGGCTGGTCCAAGCGTCGCCGTAGAATACACCGTGTGGGGGCGGCGGCATGGCGGCGGGCAGTGCGCCGGTGTTCAACCTGTTCATCATCAACAAGTCGGGCGGGCTCATTTACTACAAGGCAAAAGCCATGCCCCTCGACCTCTATCGCCATTCCCCTCGTGCTCTATCGCCACCGGCTGTCACGCACCCCCTGCTGCCCGCACGTGCGATCATGACTCCGCCGCTGCTTTCCATCGCCATGTGCCCTAACCCCCTCCCCGCCTTTCCCTCCACCACCACCCCTCCCCCCTGCCCTTCCGTTTCCTGCCCAGTTCTCGCTGCGCTCCCCCTGTGACGTCCCCTATCCCCCCACGACGGCCCCTATCCCCCCATGACTGCCCCTATCCCCCCATGACTTCCCCTTTCCCCCCATGACGGCCCCTATCCCTCCATGACGGCCCCTTTCCCCCCCCCACCGCCCCGGCGCCCGCTTGCAGGACTTCGGGTCGCAGAGCAAGCTGGACACGAACGAGTCGCTGCGCCTGGCGTCCACGTGGCACGGGCTGCACGCCATCGCCATGCAGGTGCCATCGCCATGCAGATGCCATGCTAATTGCCTCTGCGGTTTCATGTGGGCATGCCATTGCCATGCAGGTGACATGGTTGCATGCCATTGCCATGCAGGTAACATGGGTGCATACCATTGCCATGCAGGTGACATGGTTGCATACCATTGCCATGCAGGTGACATGGGTGCATACCATTGCCATGCAGGTGACATGGGTGCATACCATTGCCATGCAGGTGACATGGGTGCATACCATTGCCATGCAGGTGACATGGGTGCATACCATTGCAGGTGACACGCAGTGGCTGTGCAGTTGAACCGCTATGCGCAGATGAATGAGATGTGTTGCTGTTGCTGCGGGCAACTCTGACTCACGATGCATCTGTCATGCATGCCCGTGCGTGTGCTGGTGCATTTCCTCGCTCTTATTGGTTCGGAGTTCTAGGGGTAAGACGATTTCACTCCCTCCGTCTCCGTCTCCGTGTCCATCCCGCCCATGCCGTCCCCTCCCTCCCTCCAGCTGTCACCCATCCCCAACGGTGGTGGCATTGACATGTTGGAGGCGGGCACCTTCGACCTACACTGCTTCCAAACGCTCACAGGTGCACCTCACGTCCCACATCCCCGCCTCCCTTCCCCATCTTGCCTCTCGACTCTCACAGCTCTCCCTGCCTCGTCCTTCCGCATTCTCCCATTCCATGTAATTTCGTGCCTCAGCACACTCCACCGTTTTCTCCATCCCTCTTCCCTGCCACCCCTGTCCTCTCCACTTTACCACATGCTGTAAGGTCTCTTCTTGATTTGACCCTTTCACTCTCTCCTTGCATCTCTCCTTGCATCTCTCCTTGCAACTCTCCTTGCATCCTTCCTTGCCCCGTCATCCTCTGCCATACCGAGCATCCATGCCACCAAGTCCCCCATCGCATAATTTCAGGCCCTGCAGATCTTGCGTGCACCACTCGCCCTCCTCTGCGCCCCGCCGCCATCAGCGCCTCCATCGCCAAGGAGGTGGGTCAACATGCTGCCACCAGGTGTGCGTCCCCCACCTCCCCCATTCCCGCTCTCCTCTGCGCCCCTCCCATGTGCCCCCCTGCCCCCCAGGCACCAAGTTCTTCATCGCCACAGAGGTGGGGTTCAGCGGCGCCGCCACGCTGCTCGCCATCATCTACGACCTCTACACCGACTACGTGCTCAAGAACCCCTTCTACGAGGTGCCTAGTTACCCATGCTCATTCAGGCATCTCCCATAAGCTATGTTGTCATCATGCCATGCGTTTGAGCACAATCTACCAATGTTGCTTCTCGTTGCTGCTCTGCTGTTTCTACTCCCTTCAAGCACCCGTTCATCCCATCCTCCTGCACCTCTATGCAGTTCTTTCCGAAGCCGCGTGCCCCGCTCATTCCTGTGCTCCTCTCACTCCCACTATTCCCCATGCTCCTCTCTCTCACTCCCACTTTTCCCTGTGCTCCTCTCCCTTCCCATCTCCCCTTCCCCCCGCCAGGTGGAGATGCCCATCCGCTGCGACCTGTTTGACCTGCATCTGCCCGCGGCCATCCGCAAGGACCGCTCGCTGCTGGTGGCTGGGGTCGTCGTGCCGGGGAGGACATAATGCTGGGAACACTGGCACAAGGGTCAGATCATTTGCATGAGCGTGCAGAACGGGCCCTACCTAACTAGACCTCAAGAACGCAACAAACACTTCTGCTCTAGATTCGGGTAGAGCATACTCCGTACCATGGAGCACAATTTGGGAATAGAGGCATATGCGTTGCAAGTACGGTACATGGCACATGCGCAATGAGTGATTGGTGGTGAGATGAGAAGATTGGTGGTACCCACACGTAGGTTTTGTTTCAGTGTGACTAACGGCATGTGGCAAGCAGAAGTCGAAACGACGGGACTAGACCGGAGGTTACGTAGTATAATGAGGTCAAGTGTGTTATATTATATAGGTTATATTGTTAAAAAGGAAAACTAGGCAGTAGGCAGGAACAAGGCCGCCATGAATGTGGCGGCGGGGTTTTAGCTAGAAGGGTAGGAAAAGTGTCGAGAGAAAGAGTGTATGATTAGGAGAAGAGAGGAGTACAAGGAGGGGTTTGTACCCTCTACAGAATGGTTCAGTAACAACCTACCAAGCCTATATTAAATTATAACTTATATAATTTTAACACACCCCCTAGGCTTGGTAGTGTTCAAATTATATAAGTTATAATTTAATATAGGCTTGGTACCGGTAGGTTGTTACTGAACCTTTCTGTAGGGGGTACAAACCCCTCCTTGTACTCCCCTCTCTTCTAATCCAACACCTTTTCTCTCCTCAACTTTCCTAGCACCTAAAACCTCTCGCCATTCTCATGGCTCCTCCTAGCTCCTAGCTAAACCTTGTGCCATTCTATGGCTTCCTAGCTAAGCTAGTTTCTGACAGGTAGTGTCAAGCCCACACACACCCCCACACCCACACCCCCTAGCCCAGCACCCCCATTCCCGGCAGGAGCCGCAACGACTCCAGAAGTGGGCAGCTCCTACGGCCCGTGGGATGGCAATGGCGGCAGCAGCGACATTGACGAGAGCGGCGGCGGCGGCGGCGTGCGGCGGCACCCGGCCAGCGGCAACAGCGGCGGCCGCGGCGGCTTGAACGTCAGAGGCTGGTGCAGCGGCCCCCGCCCTCTCGGCGGCATGTCCAGTCTCCTCGGTGGTGGGGAGGGCCCTCATGAGGCAGTCGTCGGCTGCAGCAAGGAAAGGGGGGATGCAGGGGAAGGAGCGGGAGGAGGGGGGGGGGGGAAGGGCGCGGCGTAGTCCATAATCACGCCGGTGGCGGTAGAGCGGGCGGCAGGTCCGGCGGCGCCACTGACGTTGCACGGCTGGCTGTCGCTCGACGACGCCGCCACGGCAGCCTTACGACGCCGCCAGGCCGACGACGCACCATGGAACCTCGACGGCGCCACCACGGCGCGGCATCTTCGCTGCAGCTGCTCGGCGACGCTGAGACGGCGGCACTAAAAGAAAGCCGCCGCGGCATCTCGGAGAAGCTGCCACGGTGGCAGGAAGTTGGAAGGCAGTGAACGAGAACGCAACGGAAGCACGGAGGGGAGCAGGCCCAGGAAGGGCGTCCTGCTCTGATACCATGTTAAAAAGGAAAACTAGGCAGTAGGCAGGAACAAGGCCGCCATGAATGTGGCGGCGGGGTTTTAGCTAGTAGGGTAGGAAAAGTGTCAAGAGAAAGAGTGTATGATTAGGAGAAGAGAGGAGTACAAGGAGGGGTTTGTACCCTCTACAGAATGGTTCAGTAACAACCTACCAAGCCTATATTAAATTATAACTTATATAATTTTAACATATATATCATTGTAGGCTTGGTAGGTGCTATTGGAACCTACTGTAGAGGGTACAACTTGCTCTTTGTATCCCTCTCTTCTAATCTCATTCTCTTCTCTCTCGATATTTTTCCTAGCCTAAAACCTCGAGCCATTCTATGGCTTCTCTAGCTACCAAGTTTCTCAACATAGTGTGTGCTCTATCAGAATGAATAAGTAAACTAGAATGTGTGAGTACAAGGGTATATAGACTAGGGTGTTGTACCCTCTAAGGCACAATCCAGTATAGTCTACAGTAACGACCTAAGTTACATTTGACACACCCCCTAGACTATATAGGGGCAGTGCCTAACAGGGAAAGAAGTAGCTCAGGGCGGCACTACTAGTCCAGCCTCTGAGGCAAGGGTCTAAAGACCAGTCAAAGGAGTACAGACAAGACAAGAGCAAGACCAGGGCAGCACTACTAGTCCAACCACTGGGAGAGCCCACAAGGCCAATCAGGGTAAAATATATATATAAAGGACAGTACAAGGTCAAGGCCCTAGCAAGTGAGAGGCTACAGGAACGAGACCTAGCTGTACACAGTGCCGCTGATGATCTTTAGGCGCAAGCACCTTCATAAAGATATCAACTGTGTTGACACCGTAGGCCAAGTATACTACGCGCGCCTGGCGGCGCTGCTGGAGCTCACGCAGGAGGAAGTACCGCAGCTGGATGTGCTTCGCTCTGCCCTCGAGTCGAGGCTCCTAACACAGGAGGATCATGGCCCTGTTGTCAGCGTTCAGGACCGGGGCAGAGCTAGGCCGCTCACCTAAGTCAGCGAGCAAGAAGGTCAGCCAGCGGAGCTCCTGTGCCGCCATGGCACCGGCGTAGATCTCGGCCTCACAGCTGGACTGGGCAACAGACGAGGAGCGGGTACCTCTCCACGAGACGGCACCTGAACCAAGGCTGAAGCAGTAGCCCTGCGAGGACCTGAGGGTCTCGGCGTCGTCTGCCCAAGAAGCGTCTGTGTGTCCAGTAAGGACCACTGGCCTGCGTCCTCCTAGCACTAACCCTATGCCCGATGTACTTGCAAGATAACGCAAAACCCTCTTAGCAGCAGACCAGTGCTGAGGTCGGTGTCTGCCTGTAGCCACAAAGCAAGCCAGGATGCTGAGAGGGTATGCAAGATCTGGGCGAGTGCAAGTCATCACGTACATGAGGAACCCACCAGCTTTGCGTAAGGACCACTGGGCTCTGCTGACTCCTCAGGAACTGGAGCCAAAAGCCTGTAGTATAGAGGCAGAGGAGTGGGTTGTGCGGAGGGGAACTGAAGGCCAAACCTCTGAAGGACCTGGCGCACCAAGTGTGACTGAGTCAAAGTGATGGTGCGCGGTGCTCTGTCCCTAGAGATCTGCAAGCCAAGGTAACGGCGCAGTTCTCCAAGGTCAGTGCACGTGTGTCTCTTCAGCAGCTCTGCCTTCACGGAGGCCAGTGCGTCCCTGTCTTCTGTGGCAAAGACCAGGTTGTCGACGTAAACAAGGATGTAGAACGGAGTCTGGCCAGCACGAACGAAGAGTGAAGGGTCTGCGGAAGACGGAAAGAACTGCAGGTCAGCAAGCGTAGCATGGAGAGTGTCGTGCCACTCACGGGGAGCCTGTCGCAGGCCGTAGACGAGGCGCCGCAGGAGCTACTGGGTCCCAGGAGGGAAGGTACCAGTGAAGCCGTGAGGGCGGCGCAGGTAGACCTGCTCGTGTAGACTGCCCTTAAGAAACGCAGTGGAGAAGTCGAGGGAGTGAAGCTTGTAGTCACGCTGAGCTGCTACGTCTAGCAGCACCCGAAGAGTAGTCATCTTCGGGGTCGGAGCGAAGGTCTAGAAGAAGTCCACCCCCTCACGCTGACTAAAACCTCTAGCCACATAGCGCGCCTTGAACACAGGCGGCTCTCCAGAAGGGTGCTTCACCTTGAAGAGCCACCGGCCATCGACTACATTCACCCCATGTGGGGGAACTGCGTCGACGTAGGTGCCAGTGGATCTCCAAGATGCCATCTCCTGCTCCAAGGTAGCTATCCACTGAGAGGCCCAGGGTCCCAAGACCGCCTCAGCGTAGGTACGAGGGGTCGGGAAGTTGAAAGCGTCGGGGTCACCCTCAGGGACTAGAAGCATGGAACACAGATGGGGAGCAGCCTCGGACAAGAAAGCAAGCTCGTACTGGCGGTCCTCCAGGACGTTACTGCCGACGGCAGGAGCACCCCCGACAGATGGAGGACAGGCAGGGTCAGAGACCAGAGCGGTGGCGTAGTCAAGGCGGCGGGTAGAGGCAAAGTCAGCGACCGCAGCGACAAGGGCGTCAAGGCTCGAAACCGGAGCAGAAGCGTCGGTAACAAGAGAGGCAAGGACCCGAGGAACAAGAGGACGAGCGGCACGCAGGTAGTCAGACAGAGGGGGGGACACAAGAGGGGAACGAGGGGGGAAACGGGCCGGCGACGAGTCCGGAGGAGGGAACACAGGGCCGTAGACAAGAGGAGGAGGAGGCACAGGCACGAGGTCAGGGGACGGAAGGCCGAGCAGGCGAAGAGCGGACACCGGCGGGGACTGCTGCGGCGGCATTGTGACACTGATACCGGGATCGCAAGCTGCCTGGCGGCTACCTCCAGAACACTCCATGCCAGCACCCCCAGAAGGAACACCCCCAGAGCTCAGAACCCCTCGAGCACCGGTACCACCCCCAGGCCCGCCGGGACAAGCCATGACAGGAGTCCTAGGACTAGTACCCACCCCAACACCAGCACCTGCAAAGGCAACGAACTGCTGCGGCGACGGCTGCGGCGGCGGAGGCTGCAACGACGGCTGCGGCGGCGACGTCGGTGGTGACGACGGCTTCGACAGCGGTGGCGACGGCGGCTGTTGAGGCGGCGGAGGAGGAGATACCTGAGAAGGGGCAGGCGGCGAGGACTACGCCGCAGGACCACCAGAGTCAACAGACTCATCAACCGGGACAACCGACGTAAGTGGGTTGACGTGGGACACACCAGAGGGGGCATGACGGGGAGGGGGAGGAGGAGGGTCGGCGACGACCGGGGAAGGGGTGACCAGGAACAGGGGGGGGGTAACCAGGGGACCTCGGTGGGGGAAGCGGCGGAAGAAGGAGGCGGACTCGTCAAAGGTGACGTCACGGGAGTGAAAGAACCGGTGAGACGGTGGGTGGTAGAAGTGCCAGTCAGACGCGTCAAGGGGGAAGCCGAGGAAGACACAGGGAAGGGTGCGGGCAGTGAGCTTGTCCGTGCCAGAGGCACGAACATGAGAAAGGCAGCCCCAGACGCGGAACGCATACGCGTCACCAGGTGATCCAGACCAGAGGAGGGTCAGCAAAACCTGAGGCTGCTGGGGGTGCGGCCACAGGTTAAGCTGGTGAGTGGCGTAGCGAACGGCGAACGGCCACAGAAAATGGGGTGCCCCGGCATGGATCATGGAAGTGCGAGTCACCTCCATGACCAAACCGATGCGTCGCTCAGCGACCCCATTCTACTGCAGGGAGTCAGGCAAGGTGAATGTCTGGGTGATGCTCTCCGCATGACAGAAATGACCAAGGACACCAGAGGCAAATTCGCCACCACGGTCGGAGTGGAGACGCAAGACAGGGAGACCGCGGTGGACACGCGCAGAGACAAGCCACGGGATAAGAACGGCAGGCACGTTGGCCTTCCGCTCCAGGGGGAACACAGTGCTGTAGCGCGTGTAGTCGTTGACAAGCACTAGGAAGTAGCGCTCTCGACGCGGCCCATGGACAGGGGCGGAGCCCCA